GCTGGTGGGTAGCAGACGTCTCCGAAAACATCGAAGCACTTTGGCAAATATGCGATATCTTGATAAACCGAGCAGATATTTGATGTTTACACAGCTACTTTCTCGCCTGAAAATATGTTAAAAGTTTATTTTGTGACCCAGAAATATTAGTAAGAGTAATTTTAAAACTTAGCAGCCGCCATTGCTGGAAACTGGAGTTTGAAACTGGAGGCAGGAGGCTCCGGTCCATTTGCACCAGAACCTCTCGCCATAAGAACAGTTTCTTCCCCTCTGCTGTTGGACACATGAACAATAACCTTATGACTGTTCCCACCCCTAACACATGACCCTACGCTGTGTTGACTGCATCATTCCATGTTTGGCACTGATCACCACCTGCACTCATGTGTATATATCATGTATATACCTATCTATTTAGCACTTTTAATTTTTAACTTTTAATTCTTATTCTTGTTTTCATGTCTATTTAAGCATAATTTATGACAGTATGTCTGCACTGAAGCACCGCAGCAATTTCCTTATGTTGTAAACCTGCCCAACATTTGGCAATAAAACCCTTTCTGATTCTGATTTGGCTGGGCCGCGCTATGAGTTCTGGGATATGGTGGGCCACGAAGGACACACCCGACCCATCCTTCAAATTCGGGGAAAAGGAGGACGCATTTGTCGGCTGCATTCGGAGCAGTCTACGAATTTGAACAGCCTTCGGCGCGTTGCTGTGACGTAATCGGTCTACAAATGTGGCCTCAGGAGGATGCAGCCCATGAATTTGGACATGACCAATAAGTCGTACAGCTGGGTGGGTGCTGTGTTACTGATGGTGAACTTTATTGTATTCATAAGGTTAGTTATTGGGTTGCCAACCGCCCCGTGCAAACGGAATCGTCCCGCATTCAGAGAAAATATTACACGTTTCGTATTGAGCTGAAAAGGAACGCAGTTTGTCCCGTACTTCAGGTAGAATGGAAGAAGACACAAAGCTGGATTTATTCAGAACGCTGTGTAAAAATAACAAAAAACAAAAAGTGAATGCAAAAGTGCATAAATATTTATTTTACGTGTTTGATGTGTGTGGCAGGGCGTGGTCTGCAGTGCAGCTGCAGGGGAGGTGGACCCACCTCAGCGGCATCTGCAATCACGCCTCTCAGGCGTAAAGTCTGTGCTCTCTCTTCCGTTTTTTTTGTTTGTTTTGTTTTTGTTTTTTTGGGTATGTGTCGGGCTGTAAGATGAAAAGCTACAGCCGGCTGTGTGGGTACAGCAACTATGTGTGAAAAGTGGTCCATAACGTAATGCTTCAAAGCGTGTTCATGCAAACATTGTCGGGTCTGCTTATGAACCTCTGCGCACAGCGTCTGCAAATCGGGGCTGTAAGAAGTCACCCCATCTTTACACAAAACTGTAAGCTGTCATCTGTGAGGCGCGAGCGGTGTTTGGTTTAACCATAGTTCATGGTGGAGAATGGCTGCTCTGCTGAGTTTTGCTCTCTGTAGCCGTTTGAATGGCAAACTACACCGATTAGCGGCGGCATAGGCACACTTAAAATTTCTTCAGAAATTTTCGCTTTCTAGTTGAACATACTATTCAGAAAACTCAGGATTTAATTTTTTCTGCATATGAAATTTAAAAAAAAAAAGAAGAAGCATGGAGCGGTTATATGTACCTTCAGTATATGTGACTAATTCTTTGTGTTTCAGAGGACGGCATCCTTTCTCTCTATAATATCTCCAAAGATACATCAGGATACTACATCTGCACTTCACGGAACAAGATCCGCTTTGCTACCTGCAACCTCACCCTTGCGGTCATGCCACGTAAGAGAAACATTTAATAGAGAAAAGGCTTTTCTTTTTTGTTGTTGTTCTTGTTATTTGTCTTTTTTAAGTAAATAAATCTTTACTCAAATTATGACGCACACCTCGGTGTTGTTCCCCCTCCTAACATGTCTGTCTTCAACCCTGCAGCATCCATGAACATTGCTTCCACTCCAGCACTAATTGGTGGAGTTGTCGGTGGCTTGGTTCTACTCATCCTCATCATCATCATCTGTTGCTGCTGTTGCAGGAAGAAGAACAAAGATGAGGAATATGAAATGGGGTAAGGTTCCATCCTCTTATTAATACAAGCAATCAACACAGAGGCACTCATGCTGACAGAACTGAATATTTTGTGGGATTTTAAGAATAGAATCTTTTTTCATGAATAAAAAACAAAATTTGCACATACCATGTCTGTGGTGTAAAGGGACCTATTCGTATGGCTGTAATCAAAGGAAGTTGCCATTATTCCTGAGCATGCAAGGGACAAAAAACTCCCGTTGTGTTTTTAAATTAACTTCATAGTAAATTAATGATGATTTTTTTTTTTGCACTGTGCCATATGAATTTTGAATTCAACGTCCATATGATTTCTTCATCTGAGCGTCAGAAAAAAACAACTTCCGTTCGTTAGGCAAGCACATTCACAGAACTTTTGTGATTTTTATTCTATTTTTTCTGTGAGTGAGTATTTTCTGTTCATTGGATGCTTTTGACTGCACTGATTGTGTGCGGGTGTTGTTTCCACTTTCTAGAGTTCATGAGGGGGAGGAGTACCACGACAAGGAGCCGGATAGAAACGGTGAGGGTCGACGTGTTGAAGTCCAGGGGAAGGACAGTTATGAGGACTCGAGTGTAAAGAGGACTGAACGCAATGAGGAAAGAAGTGATCCGGATCGCCGCGACTACGACGGTCGCCGCAGCGACTACGACGACCGCCGCAGCGACTACGATGACCGCCGCCGCGACTACGACGACCGCCGCAGCGACTACGACGACCGTCGTGAGCGCTACGATGATGATCGCCGCTACCAAGACCGTCGTCGTGATGACAACCGCTACGATGATCGGGACCGTGATAGACCACCGGTGCCCAACAGTAAGCCCACAAGGAGGGACTACCATGACTAAAGCCTCCAACCTGTAAACCAGTTTCTGTTGTTGTTGGTTTTTTCTTACATACAACCAGATTATCAAATGGTGGCCTAGCTGTTACATAATGGATCGCCAGGAAACTGCAAAATTAGAGCTGAAAGAATAATATGTAATAATTTGTTTGGGAGGAATAGTTTTATGTCTTAGATTTTTAGGTCTTTTAAAGTAATTTTTCAGATTTTATATATCTGATATATTTGTCCTATGTTACTTTTTGTGTGTCGTACAGTCAGGGAACAGTGAAACGCTTGTCTCTCTGTGTACTGCCAGTTTTATGTGTAAATAAAGAATTTATTTCTACTGTGTGACATGTTTTAAGTTTTTGTCTGTAATATTTCCGTGCATGCGTCATGTTTCCTGTGAATTGTGGGAGTTTGAATGGTCTGGTAATATACTGATGTGTCATGGCTTGACACACAAACACAGGCAAAACATGCTGTCAAAAGTGTTATTGTTGCTTAAGTTTTCAGTTAATCAAATACATTTTGTCTCTCTTGCTGTTCACAATACAATTTAATGTAACTTCTTTATTAGCATCGCTGGGGGTATTTTTCTTTTTCCAACCCAAAGAGTTATTAGCAATTACTCAAATGTTTTTGTATACAGTTGTAGAGACTCCAAACATTTACTTTTAATTTTCTATTGAGTGCTTTCAGTTTCTGTATCTTTAAAAAAATAAAATAAAATCACAAAATGTGGAACTTCTACTTTTTATCAAATTCAAACATTCTTTTTGTTATGCTGTATAATTACATGCTGTTTGGTACATATTTTGCATTGGCAATGTTATGACTATAAATGAGAATCATCAAAATCTTTTTAAACCTGTTGTGTGAAAAATGCTCTTAAAAAAGATGAAGTTGACTGGGCTTAGTTTTCGGCATGTGACACCAGAGCTCTGTTGCTTTATGTTCAGTTCCATATTTGCTCTCAACAACTAAACCTCTTAATATGTCTGTGTGGTCATTACATAATCAGTTGATTAGGAAACTGCATTGCTGAGCAGGTTTTCCAATGACGTGGCCACATTGCTTTTGTAGGTTGAATTTTTAGTGCGTTACATATTACAGAAGTTTATAGTTTTTGATTGTTTGATGACTCTTTTAATAGCATATATAAATGGTGCTTTTCAACACATAGTTAAGACAGTGTCACAGCCCGGATCAAATACAGTGGCAAGGATTGGGAGAAAACATAAGATGATAACTTAGAAAGCAGGACACAGAAACATAAAAGGTGGAGTATTCATAAGGCAGCGGTGTAAAACAAGTATGGCTGAGTGGCAGTCTATGGCTGTGTCCCAATTCAGGGTCTGCACGCTTGAAGTACACAGTAAAATTTGCAGTGTCAAACTAACACTTAAAGAGTTAAATTTAACACTGCTTCCGAGTCTATTTGGTCCCATTCGGAATTGGTGTTAAATCAACTCTTTCTAGAGTGTTAAAACTTTAGAGTAAATTTAACTCTAAATAGAGTAAATATTTAACACTGAGTAACACCGCATAGTGTTAAATCAACTTAACACTACTAGTAGTGGTAGTGTCATATTATTTACTCTATCATAGTGATAAATTAACTCTTTGAGTAAAATCCCACTGATTTTTAACACTGAATTGAGTTATTTGAAATTAACACTGGGGGTTCAAAGAACTCTGATGGGAGTTGATGTTACTCTATACTGTGTTATTCATACACTAATCTCTAGTGAAAAATTAGCTCTCATAGAGTAAAATTTGTAATTAATTTTACACCAAGTAGTGTTACTAAAACTCTTCCTGTAGTGTTACCTTTACACTAGAGTTGGATGTCTCGAGACCACTTTTACGTGGTCTTGGTCTTGTCTTGGTCTCGACGGACTTGTCTTGGTCTCGCTGTTTCGGTCCTACGTTCTCAAATCGACATAGTGTTCGGGAGATTTGGAGTCAACCATCAGCGGAGCGGGGGGTGGCTTACTGGGCTTAAGCCCGGGTCATCTTTTCAGAAGCATGGGGTCTTTTGGAGTGTAATTTGTTAGTTAGAGGCCTGACTGACAACTGTATAAAACAAAAACAACACACGAAGCACAGAGCGCACCGTCGTAAATTCCCCCTAATTTTGGTATGATCCGAGCTCAGGCACTAGGCGACTGAGCGCAGCACCCATGTGAGCGAGGGGGGAGAAGCTGCTGCCTGCGAGTTTGCTGCAGACAGAGGAGAGCTTAAGTTTGACCAGGTACCAAAGCAAATCATTCGTACTGAACTAATAATGTAAATATGATTGATATCAAACTGATCACTTGGTTGCGTTACTTGCTCTTCGAGTGAATCAACAAATGGATAAATAAAAAGCCGAACAGCAATGCTGATTTTTTAGAGAGTCTTAGCTTACATTTCATATTTTCAGTTGTTACCCTCCACGGCTAAACAAACTCTCTAAATCGGTTTCAGTTGTGTACCGATGAACACAACAATGGACATAAGGAGCTTCTTTCAAAGAAAAAACTCAGGTAGATGTTATTTTATATATTATGCTTTGGATGTTGTTCAGTATATCTATGCAAAACAAGAGAAATTTCAATACACAGCAGTATATTCACAGTTGAAACCAGATATTTACATACACTTTATGGAGAAAACATAAAAACTTTTTTTTACCGTTAAACATGAATTTAGAGTAAACTTTTGTTTTAGATAAATAAATGTTGAAATATCTTTTGAATTAGTTAAATGTCAGAATAAAAAGAGGGAGCTGTCTATTTTAATCACTTTCATCAAATTTAGGAGTACATATACACTAAGTTTATTGTTAATTAATAAGAAAACTACAGACGATTCCATTCTGAGCTGAAGAAGCTTCTGATAGGTTAGTAGAGTCCATGTGAGTAAATTGGTGGCACAGCTGTGGATGCATATAAGGCAAAACACAGAGCCTGTTTCTTTGACATGGGAAAAATCAAGAGATGTCAACCAAAACACCAGGAAAAGAATTGTCGAGCTCCATAAGTGTGGCTCAATTTTGAATACAATTTGGTGCCATTTGCAATTAAGAAATACAGATAGTTTCTCTCTTTACTCTTAAAGTTAAAAATATGTTTCTGTGTCTTGATACAGGCCCGACTTTGTTCTGCCTTGCTGCTTAATTAAAAAACTAGTTTAAGGTGTCCTGCATATGTATATAGAATAGCATCTGGCTGCAGTTTAAAGACTTTTTTTTGTCTCAGTCTCGGTCTCGGTCTTGGTCTCGTCTCAACTTGGTCTTGGTCTTGTCTTGGTCTTGGATTAGGCGGTCTTGACTACAAGTCTACTTTACACACAATTCACTGTTTTGCAGCACGAAAACCTGGTTTTTAATAATGCTTTTACATATAAAACAAGTAAGCAAAAACCACAACTAGATAATACATTTAACAGCTTTATTTTCATGTCAGGCTCAAAATATAAAAACATCTCATGCAGTGTATAAAACACTTTAAAACAATGAATTTAGTTTGGCATAAAACGGCAATATGGAACGACATACAGGGAGGAATCTGAAATGCCATACTTGATTTGAAGAAGCAACACAGCTCATTTATCTTCAACACCTTCAGCACCATATTGGGATGCAGTCTGTTCCTAAATGTATGATGATGGTCATGAAAACACAGGGTTTCCATCAGTTTTCCACAGAGCAATACAATGCCATCTTTCACAACAATACTTTTGATCTTACAAAAAAACGGAATCTCAGACACTACATCTGTACAGATGATAAAGTCAGGGCGGTACTCTGTACCATGTGTTATTATCCACTTAGCTGAAAACAAACTGGTAGACAACACAGCTCCAAGCAATTTCTGGACCTTCTTCCAGCTCTCCAAGTGTCACCATCTTTCCTGGTCCTAAAGCTAATCTTTCAAGGCTAAAGTACTCCCAATGCTTTATTTTATTACTATTATATTTATATTTATTTTTACTTGTGGTGTCCTGTAAAGGTACGCTCTTTAAGGCTGCATCTTTAGCCTGAGGATGAATCTCAAAAAACACTTCCTCCATTGAGGAGACAAAACTGTTCACAGTAGATTGGCGTAATCCAGCTGCCCTGAGCTGTGCAACAGCAGAGGCACACATATGTACACAATGTAGCTTGCCATCACCAGTGTGTGAATGTGTGTGTGAATGGGTGGATGACTGGATATGTAAAGCGCTTTGGGGTCCTTAGGGACTAGGAAAAGCGCTATATAAATACAGGCCATTTACCATATCCAAAGTGCTCTTACAGTATTTGACCTTTTCAGATGTTGTGGGTGTTTCTTCTACATTAGTTGACATCACCTCCCCTGTAGTTCTAACTTCTTTAACTGCCACATCAGGCTGTAGATTAACACCAGTGTCAGCCTGTTGGTCAAAATAGTTAAGGTGTTTGGTATTTATGGGCAGAAATCTGTGCCACCAGAAACTGAATTTGAATAAGTTCAATTTGAATTTGAATTGCTCAGATTGAATCTGAATTGTAACTTGAATAAATGCTTTTGAAAACTGAATTTGAATTAGTCTAATTTGAAATTGAATTTATGGTTTGAAAATGATCATCACTAAATTGAAATTGAATTTTATATTATGAAAATGAATTGATTTGCTTTGAAACTGCATTTTATCCTTTAAAAATTCAGCTCTCGAATAATTTCAGTTTCACTTCTCACCATTCAGTTTCAGTTCCAAAATTCAGTTTTTTGGAACTTACATCCGGTTCCGGTTCAAGCGCAGATTAATAGAACTACGTTTTACTAGCGGACCGAAAGTGTTACTGACGGGAATCTACAGCGTCTTGAGCTGAATCAAGACTTCAGAATCAAGACTTCAGAAGTCATTCTGAATTTTTATTTTATTTTATTCATGAATAATACTGATCTCTTTGATTTTGTTTTTATGTCCATGACAGTGCTGACAGGTGTCGGTGCCATTGACGTTACCATGCCCCAAAGTCAGTATGAGTTTGCCAGAGGTGACAACATCACACTGCCCTGCTCCTTTAAATCTGCAATTAACATAAACACTGCCGAAGCAGTTGTCATCACATGGACGGCTTTGGCTCTGGAAGCAAATGTCAAAGATGTTGGTATCTACCTTTAATCTTTGTATTTGTGATCAAAAATCATAAGAACATGTCTTTGTGTTTTTATTACTCTTCTAATCCTGTAATTTTCTAACAGACCCCGATCATCACTTACTACTATCCTATAAAGAAAACTAGCATCACACCCCCCTATAAAGGTCGGGTGTCCCTGGACGTGGATGTCCTGAATGGAAAGGCTAACCTAAAGCTTTCCTCCATCTCACTAGCTGACAACAAAGAGTTTGAGTGTCATGTGCAGATCCCAGATGACGAAGACGGCAACCAAGCTGCCTCCGCACGCTTGGTGGTTCTAGGTAATATATCACATGTTGTGGGCTTCCCCCTACTGTTCAGAGATATGACTGTTAAGTTAACTGGAAAGTCTATCTGCTACATGTCAGCCCTGCGCAGGGTGTGACTTGCCTTTTTATCCATTACTACTTAGGAGTTTTATAGCAATTCAGTCAAAGAGAAATCACACTATATTTATATTTCTCTTTTTTTTAGTGGCTCCCTCTACGCCCGTCTGTAAGATCCAGAGAACAGCACAGTACGGCCAGGATATCACCTTAACCTGTGCATCTGCAGGAGGATCTCCAATGCCCACTTATAGCTGGAAACGTTATTGTGAGCATAATCAGCCTGTTCCTCAAGACCCCCAAATCACTGACAGTAAGTGACACTTTGATCCTTTAAAATCTTTGCTAACAAGAACAAATGTGGACATGATCAGAGCGACGCTACGCTTGGTGTAAAAGTGAGCTTTACTTTTGTTTCACAGCCACTGTTTGGTATTTAATATCAAAACATATTAAACATGATGAAAGTGAAAGAAAGTGAGCAGTCAGATGTGCAATGTCACTCTTCTCTATCACAGCCTGTATTAATTTATTGTATCAAATTTGTTGTATATCAAACCACATTTTTTGTGTTTCAGAGGACGGCATCCTGTCACTGTATAATATCTCCAAAGATACATCAGGATTCTACATCTGCACCTCACAGAACAAGCTCCGCGCTGCTACCTGCAACCTCACCCTCTCGCTCATGCCACGTAAGAGAAACATTTTTTTTCATAGAGAAAATTCTACAGAAAATTATTATGATACATACCCCTGTTGTTCCCCCTGTTAACTTGTCTGTCTTGCAGCATCCGTGAATGCTATTACCACTGGAGGAATAATAGGCAGAGTTCTTGCTTACCTGATCTTTCTCATTATCATCATCATCATCTTCTTCTTTTGCCAAAATAAATAGCAATGAGAATTACACCGTCGGGTAATGTTCCTCGTTCTGGAAGATTCAAGCATTTATTAAATCATTTTTTATGAGATGACTGGGAGAAAGAAGACACTTCAGGATCCTTTTCAGAGGAGCAGGGACATTCGGTGCATTTCTCCCCCCTGTTCTTTCTTACCCCCACCCCCAAAAAATATATATATTTTTTAAAAAGTCACGTATTTGTCTTATGATGCCTTTACTGCAACCAGACCAGAGTCTACACACATATTTGATGAATATTTCTTTTCCAAGCTGTACAGAAAGAGGACAATGCGACCAACACTGTGTCATTTCTCTATATATGAGGTTTGTTCTTTTCTTGTAATTAAGGAATTTATTACTATCACACAATTTTACCACTAGCCTATTTAATTCTTTCTGTGTGATCTTTCTGTACATGCATTAGGTTTATTTGTGAACTGTGTACAACTGTGACTTCGCTGCCGTTCACTCTGGGTTGGTCACATTCTGATGTGAGTCATTGCTCGATTGCGTAAAGGCAGAAACATCGACTACCTTCAGTTTTCTATCAAGTGCTTTCTGTTTCTGTATTTAAAAAAACCACAGTATTAGGGAAACAAAAATTAGAACTTCCACTTTTCTTTGACTGTATGAATTTCAGGACTCAGTCGCGGTTAGCTGCTGCTAACTGCATGGATTTCGTTTTCCGATTACTTAATCCCAAGAGCATCAGGAGAGTGACCAGATACACAAAATGGTTATTACTGTCAGCCAAAGTACTCTCACTAACAATTTATCCCCTGAATTATTTATGCACAAGTTGGGGAAGCAGTGTATAGTAGTAAAACAACTGTCTGACTGCAATTGCATTATGCTTTCCAGTGAAGTGTTTGCAACATCTGTGTGGTTTTCGTTTTTTATGAAATAAATTTAAAGAATTGGAAAGTGTGAGGGTGGCTGTTCAAAAGGAAGATGGATCGATTGACAGATGGACCTCACCTAGACTTATGCATTTCAAATCGGTGTGTTTGCATGCTGGTGAGAAGCTGGTCTACTTGCTGATGCTGAGCTAGCTTTTTTATTTACATTTATTCCTTTACTTACTTGTTTACTGCTTTAATACCACAGTGTGGGACTAATATGGCTTTAAAATGTAAAATCAAGTGATTGAGATCTCCTGTGTGACATTTTTACTCTGGAGTATCACACTCTTGTTATAGTACTTTGCACTGTAAGAAGTGACTGTTAGCGGTACCCACCTTCTATATGCAGGTCTTCACATCTGCAGCTGTGTAACTGCTGGATAGACATGTTGCAGCAGCCAATGGCTATTGAAGTCCCTGATAGTGTCTCCTCTTTTTCCTCCTGTCTGTCCAGAGCTCCTGGGTTTCTAATTATGCTTTTCTAACACACATTTGCACATTATCTGTAAGTCCATGTAAATTTGTGCAATCGCATTGATTTAAGAATCTGATTATGGTCAGCACTAAGGCATCAAAATCCTGTTTTGCAGTTATGCTTAATCTGTATGTTACTGTTACTGTATGTTTTTTAGTTTAGTTTTTTTTTTGGGGGGGGGGTTGTACTATATTTTATAAATATTTTGCTCTTTTACTTTTCTTTTTACTGCACTATACTGCTGAGTGACTGTCTTCATTGCAGTGTTGACCCTAACTTGCATATGACAAATAAAAGTGAAACTGAACTGAAATACATTTCTAATCACACATGAATAAAAACACATGGCTGTATCTTATATAAAACTATATACGGACTCATAAAAGATAAGCATGCACTTCAGCATCTACTGATCACTTATAAATACAGTAAGCTAACTTTCCCTTGGTGACAGAGCAGTGACCTATGCCTGGTGCACTCGTAGCACAATCTGCTGGTGATCCTGTGTTTGACATGAAGACGTCCCACTGTGAGCACATGGAGTGATGTGCTTAACAAATAAAATGCACAACAATGTTGTAGTAAAATATAAAAGAAAAAATACAACAAGTCAAGAAACAAGTATTAAAACAGCAACAAAAACTAAGGTTGTTAATACCGAAATATTTAGGTTGATGTGTGCTAAAAGGCACACCATAAAAATGTGTCTTTAGTAACAATTTAAAATGTTCGAGCATTTGTGCAGATCTAATATTAAGAGGCAGACTATTCCAGAATCTGGGACTTGCCACAGAGAAGGCTCTGTCGCCACGAGATTTAAGTTTAGTCTGTGGAATAGATAAGGTTAGTTTTAACCAGAACCTCGTGGTTCTATCTGGAGCGTAAATAAAAAGGAGCTCAGACTGTTTAGTGATTTAAAAACAAAATGAAAATTTTTAAATAGGATCCCGTAAGAAACAGGCAGCCAGTGTAGACAGGCCAAAACTGGGATAATATGCTCCTTCTGTTTTGTACCAGCTAGCAGATAAACAGTTGCATTTTGGACCAACTGGAGACGATAGATAGAAGCCTGGTTCAAACCAAAAATATAGAGAATTGCAGTAGTCCAGTCTGCAAGTAATAAAAAGATGAATAACATGTTCAAAGACATTTGCTGGAAGGTATGGCTTAACCTTGGCTAGCTATCTCACATGAAAAAAGCTGGATTGGATTACTACGTTCAGCTGCCTACACAGTTTAAAGGAACCTTCGAGGTACGCACTGAGGTTTTTTACATTTGACTTACAGTAGGAAGATAAGGGGCCCAGGGCACTGTCACTGTGTTTATTAACAATGTTGCCAAAAATGACAACTTCTGTTTTGTTTTTAATTCATTTAAAAAAATGTAAAGCCATCCAATGTTTAAAGTCATCAAGGCAACGTAATGACAGCTAAAGTGGGTCTGTCCCTGCTTTTAAAGTCAGCTAGATCTGCAAGTCATCTGCAAAACAGTGAAATGAAAGGTTGTACCATAAAAAAATAGAGCCCAGAGGCAACATATACAGTGCAAACAGGGCAGGACCATGATTAAGAGGGGTTATTTTGGAGCTGTGGAGGCCCATGCTGTCATAAAAAGTCCTTCCAGATAAGTAGGGCCGAAACCCCTGGAGAGCAGACCCTTTTAGCCTAGCATACTCCAGCCATGATAGCAGCATATCATGGTCGACCATGACAGAGGCTGCTGTCAGGTCCAACAACAAGAGGGCAGCAGAGCTGCCAGAATCCAGAGTTAAGAGAAAATAATTGAAAACCCTTAAAAGTGCTGTCTCAGTGCTGTGTAGTGATTTAAAACCAGACTGAAGCTTTTCAGAGATCAAGGTGTGTGGTATCGCAAGAAATTAGTTGGTTATATAAATATATGAGTATGCATAATAGTTATTATTCATAGATACCTACATCCTAAGTTCCTGTTATTCATCTGAAAGAAACAGAGAGAAAGAGTGTGTCGTTACAATGGTAATGCCAGGAGAGGCAGTAGAAGTTCTGTGTTACATTTATGTTGTAAGAAAGTGGGAGAAGAGCGTGTAGGAGGCAGTAAAAATGGACACTGATGTTCTGAACATGTACTGACAAGACGGTTCAGTAAACAAGTTGCAACCATACTCCATTGTAAGGCTCAGTTATTTTATTTTTATTTTTTGAAGATGCAAGAAGGTGATTAATCAATCTTGATTAAGATCAAGGTGCCTGCAACTGTAAATCGATCACTTTCTCCAGAACTTTTGAGAGAAAGGGGGGTTTCGAAACTGGCCTGTAATTAGCCAGAACAGTTGGGTCCAGGCTGTGTTTTTAAGAAGAGAAATACAGCCTACTTAAAACATGACAGGACACACCTGTACCAAGGGAGGCGTTAATGAATTTCTTGTTTTTAATTCATTTTAATTAATCTGTTAATTAATTAAGGGATTTAAAAGTACAATATAAACCAGCTAAGTAGTTTATCTCCCTATGTAGTGCTAACAATAATTAAAATATATCAGCGATAACAAAGTTGGGGAGTTTGAAGGGTGAAAGGGGGTTGATTAAGGAATCATGGCCGAGAGAAACACACATGGAGCGCTGTAGTAGAATGAATACATTAATGAATAAAACAATACCTTTGATTTCTAAACACTAGATGGCAACGTAGAACCTCCCAAAAAGCTGTGTTCATCAGCTGATAACCAAAATAACCTGCACTTCCGTTGTTATCATTAAAGTGATTACTGAGCTTTTAACTAAGGGTGGGAAAGGGTGACATATTTTCAACAGCAACTTTAATTTTATTTTACTCACCGTGGTTAAGACTTCACTGCCGCCATCCATTGTTGCAGACGCTGGAAGGAACTGGGAGCCTGTGTAAAGCTGCACAGCTGATAGTGAATATGGCAACATTTGAACTTCAGAATAAAATTACAATCGGTCAGTGGTGAAAATCTTCCCTCAGTAACATCTGAGAAGCCATGGAGGTGATCTGCTTTTTTATCTCAACACGTTTTACTTCAAAATCTCACAATATAAAACTGTTACAGGATATTAGATATTAAAAATATTGAGTGATTACAATACAACACCAGAATAATATATTTTGAAAAAGGTGGTTACTACTGAATATTTTGAATATTTATTATTATTTTTACATAACCTAAATACTGAGTGGAGTTTGGAACTTCGTCTGCAGTCGGTGAATAAATGTATAATGAACTGAAAATCTTGTCTAAAGTTATCATTTATTTAATGTAATGTAAATTTGTATTTATATAGTCATATAGAATGCTCTCCATGACACCCTGAGTAAACTAAAATAAATACACTACCGAAAAATGTTGGCTTAACTGGGTTTTTATTTTTCGAAAGCAGTTTCCGGAAGTCGTCTTATTTTGATAAACTTGCCGGAGGTTCCGCTTTTGTGGAGACGCCGTCCCGTTAAGTGCCAGTTAACTGGAGCCTGGATACGGATCAGGGGCAAGAAGGAGGCGAAGAGAAGACGGCACTGGTCAGAAAACAGTTACGAAATTCAACTCCAAGATTTGGAATATGTTGTCCTCCCATGAGTGCTGGATTGTTACTGTTTTTCTGGCAGGTAAGAAAGAGGAGCATTAAAAAATTCCAATGTGATTCCCGTGCGTGTACAGCGCTGCAACAGGTTGTTTAACTGAGATTGGAGTAACGGTAACGTAGTCTTTGTGGATAAGTAAGGTGCCCTGCCTACTTTGTGGGATAATGACTCTATGTAGTGGGGGGAGAATTAAGCATTTAGATGCAAACATTTCCCCTCACGTTAATAGTCACATCAGTTAACCTTTAACTTGGGTTTTAATGCTTGTAGGTCCGCTGAGCTAGCTGAGCTGCAGTCGACTGTTTGTGGGCTTCAGTCATGTGTGAATGATCCGACCAGAAGCTTTAAAGGAGGCTGTGGATTAGGAGGTCTAACATCAGACACGTTTACTGGGTCTAAATTAGAGACAGAGAAATCCCTACAATACTTAAAAAAACAAACAACAAGTAAAAATGTTTACAAATGACAAGTAAAACTAGAAAACTGCAGTTCATCATTTTTATTTATGTCCTGATCCATGCAAAGTGACTGTAATCAGGAGTGTGTGGAATATTCCATAAAACACCTACATTCTTTGTTACAGTTTATGTAACATGTTTATGAAATTTATAGTGCTATATAGACACACTGGAGCTGCCAGCTATAAGTACATGTTATGTGCTTTAAAGTTGTTTTTTTAAAGTGCTATCTTTAATCAAACCGACATATATATTAATTATATTAATTAGGGGTACCAACATTATTGACTATGACTGGAGAACAGCTCTGAAAGAGTAATGGCAAATCATTTAAGAAGCAGATTTACAGATTTTTAAGTGCCACATGTTTTCATCCTATTCTTTTCACATGAAGGCAACACGTTTGACCGACAGCAGGACAAAACATTTGCTAGCCACTCCCATCTCCTCAGTACTAATATCCAAAACACAGAGCCCCTCCTCTGACTTTTATTTTCTCATCTGGAACAAGAAAGGCTCTGAAAACTTAATAAAGCCAGGATGACCCCACAGTCTGTGATCCCGGAAAGAGCTGACTTGTGGGTTTGTTTGTTTTTGGGCTCCAGTTCTTAGAAATCAGAGTGAGGTTCCCACCTGAGGAATTTATGTTTCAGCAGACTTTAGTTTGAGTCAATTCATTGCTTCATTTATTTAAAAACCTAAGACTTTTACCTGAAAATATGAGCTGATGATACTAATAATAAAAATAAATTAGAGGACAACTTCAAATATTCAGTGTACAGGTATTTAAAACAAAGAAAATAATCATTTTAAATCTGATAAACCAGAATATCTTTCGCATAATTGAATTAATGGTAAATACATGTAAATAATGTGTCATTTGATTTTTGGTTGATCAGCTAACCAAGTGGTCCCCAAGCATTTTGCAGCATGCTGAACTTCTGAATCCAAAAAAGTCCATATCAGTCAGCTGACTAATTGTTCCTGTTGTACTAAATAATGTAAAGTAATGAAAATAATGTAAATAAATTGTACTAAGCCATTGTTTAACATTAGAAATCTCAAAGTTCTCCAAAACCACAGTAGATAAATCAAATCAATATTTGGTGTGACCTCCCTTTGCCTATAAAACAGCATCAGTTCTACGTACACTTGCACACAGTTTTTGAAGGAACTTGGCTGGTAGGTTGCTCCAAACATTTTGGACTAACCACAGATCTTCTGTGGATGCAGATACACGAAGAGACATCCTTCTGTCTCTTCATGTAATCCCAGACACACTCAATGGTGTTGAGATCAGGGCTCTGAAGGGGCCATACCATCATTTCCAGCACTTCTTGTTCTTCTTGACGCTGAAGATAGTTCTTAATGACTTTGGCTGAATGTTTGAGGTCGTTGTCCTGCTGCAGAATACATTTGGGGCCAATGAACAAAAATGTATATTTCTGAAAGCATTCTTTGTTTACAGCATTTTTTCACACCTGCCTAAAACTTTGCGCAGTACTAATAGATTATTCTGTTGTATTCTCTTCCAAACTGAGCGATCTTTACACACAACAGCTTTCACAAGGGTGGTATGCTTTAATTGAGCTTCAAAAGATATATGTGGGTATGTTGGAACTCTGGTATAATATGAACATTTGTGTAGTGTTTCTGTTGCAGTTGTTACACTGCTAGTAAACACAACACCGTGCTTGCCCTTGCTGTAGCTTGTTGCATTTTGGATAAATTCACTCAGCTCTCTCCCTCAGGAGTGGGCGTGCTTCATTCTCAGTAACAGAATGAAAATAAAAGGGCCGGGTCTTGATTAAGCCAAGTCCCCTCCCTCTTCATTCCTACCTCTGCCCTTCTTCGCTGTTCCAGTCCTCCCACAGCTTGGCTTGACACATATACACAAATGCGCACATATGTTCTTGGGCATGTGTGTGTGTTTTATTTCACATGACTACCTCTCCTGTGTAATGTTGTTAGTGGACTGTCGATCCCAGGCCCACCTTCATCATGTGACCCTGAGTAGCACAGCTTCAGATGCCCCACAGCAACATCAGGCCAGCTCAGAGTCAGATTTCACTGAGCTGAAGCAACTCAAACCAACACACACGCTGCTTCATTTCATTACAGCTAAAGGAGGAAAGAATTCTTGGGAATTCTTTTAAGTCTGCTGGTATATCTAGATGACGTCATTCACCATCCTCTGGTAGCATGTTTTTCAGATATTTTTAAACTCTGCAAACAGGAGCAGGTGTCTCTTCAGGGCTCTATTCAGTATCTGAATCATTGTGTTGCTGTCTGCAGTGGTGTTCCTAAAATAGTGAGGAGGAAAAACTATCTTTTAACAGAAGAATCCTCTAGCAGACCCAGGCTCAGGGTTCCATTTGCCATGGCTGACAGAGTAAATTGGACAAAATGTAACAACATTGTAGTAGCACACTGGGGGAGTGAAACGAGGTGAGTGAAGAAGAAGTGCTTAGTGGTCTCACGTGAATTCCCGCATTACAGCCTAACTGTAAGCTTAACCACAAAGGAAAGGTTTCAGTCTAATCTTAAAAGCAGAGGGAGCGTCTTCCTTCTGAATCCAAACCGGGAGCTGCTCTGCAGAGAGCTGTCAATGGATTGTTTTGAAGAACATCTCTCACACTTTACTAAGCCTTCATCATCTTCTCCCACAGGTGTCTTCCCTCCATCCAGCTCCGGCGTCCAAGTGTTTGTGAGAGACGAGAAGAAGTATGCTGTGCTGTTCCAGTCAGTGGTTCTGCCGTGCCAGTACACCACCGTGTCCTACCAAACCGCCGTGGTGCAGTGGGTCTACAAGTCGTACTGTCGCGACCGCACCAGGGATTCATTTAACTTTCCCGACAACTTGGGCGGAGGTCTGGGTGGAGGAGGGCTGACAAGCGGAACGGGAGGAATCAGCAGAGGGTACGAGAAGGGGATGACAGCCAGCTACCTCGACTGCTCTGACAACAGTCGGACCGTCCGAACTGTGGCTTCCATCTCTGGTTCCTCAGTCACATTGTCAGAGTACTACAAGAACAGAGACATCTCCATCATTAACAGTAAGCGTCTGTGGCACTACCTATGGTTGTGTTTTATTTTCTAAGATACAGTGGGGCAAAAAAGTATTTAGTCAGCCACCGATTGTGCAAGTTCCCCCACCTAAAATGATGACAGAGGTCAGTAATTTGCACCAGAGGAACACTTCAACTGTGAGAGACAGAATGTGAAAAACAAATCCATGAATCCACATGGTAGGATTTGTAAAGAATTTATTCGTAAATCAGGGTGGAAAATAAGTATTTGGTCAATAACAAAAATACAACTCAATACTTTGTAACATAACCTTTGTTGGCAATAACAGAGGTCAAACGTTTACTATAGGTCTTTACCAGGTTTGCACACACAGTAGCTGGTATTTTGGCCCATTCCTCCATGCAGATCTTCTCGAGAGCAGTGATGTTTTGGGGCTGTCGCCGAGGAACACGGACTTTCAACTCCAGCCACAGATTTTCTATGGGGTTGAGGTCTGGAGACTGGCTAGGCCACTCCAGGACTTTCAAATGCTTCTTACGGAGCCACTCCTTTGTTGCCCGGGCGGTGTGTTTTGGATCATTGTCATGTTGGAAGACCCAGCCTCGTTTCATCTTCAAAGTTCTCACTGATGGAAGGAGGTTTTGGCTCAAAATCTCACGATACATGGCCCCATTCATTCTGTCCTTAACACGGATCAGTCGTCCTGTCCCCTTGGCAGAAAAACAGCCCCATAGCATGATGTTTCCACCCCCATGCTTCACAGTAGGTATGGTGTTCTTGGGATGCAACTCAGTATTCTTCTTCCTCCAAACACGACGAGTTGAGTTTATACCAAAAAGTTCTACTTTGGTTTCATCTGACCACATGACATTCTCCCAATCCTCTGCTGTATCATCCATGTGCTCTCTGGCAAACTTCAGACGGGCCTGGACATGCACTGGCTTCAGCAGCGGAACACGTCTGGCACTGCGGGATTTGATTCCCTGCCGTTGAAGTGTGTTACTGATGGTGACCTTTGTTACTTTGGTCCCAGCTCTCTGCAGGTCATTCACCAGGTCCCCCCGTGTGGTTCTGGGATCTTTGCTCACCGTTCTCATGATCATTTTGACCCCACGGGATGAGATCTTGCGTGGAGCCCCAGATCGAGGGAGATTATCAGTGGTCTTGTATGTCTTCCATTTTCTGATGATTGCTCCCACAGTTGATTTTTTCACACCAAGCTGCTTGCCTATTGTAGATTCACTCTTCCCAGTCTGGTGCAGGTCTACAATACTTTTCCTGGTGTCCTTCGAAAGCTCTTTGGTCTTGGCCATGGCGGAGTTTGGAGTCTGACTGTTTGAGGCTGTGGACAGGTGTCTTTTATACAGATGATGAGTTCAAACAGGTGCCATTCATACAGGTAACGAGTGGGGGACAGAAAACCTTCTTACAGAAGACGTTACAGGTCTGTGAGAGCCAGAGATTTTCCTTGTTTGAGGTGACCAAATACTTATTTTCCACCCTGATTTACGAATAAATTCTTTACAAATCCTACCATGTGAATTCATGGATTTTTTTTTTCACATTCTGTCTCTCACAGTTGAAGTGTACCTCTGGTGCAAATTACTGACCTCTGTCATCATTTTAAGTGGGGGAACTTGCACAATCGGTGGCTGACTAAATACTTTTTTGCCCCACTGTACATTCAGGTCATACAGCAGCACTTTTTTGTGGCATAACAGGCTGAAATTGAGCTCACCAGCATTATAAAAGGAATTACAGCACGCTTGCTTGCAATTGGCAAGGGCTGCAAAGGTAAAATAATGTCAGAACGATATTTTCAGCATCACAGATTTCCCTCAGTGCATTGATTCAGTCTTATGTTCTTCTTTCTTGTTTTGCCAAGCCTGGCAAGGTTCATAAAACCCACAGCTTGGGCACAGGCTCACCTTTCTCCCAGATTCCTTAATACCTAAATATCCAAAAGGAACAAGTCAGATGCTGCAACATGTGGAGTCTATTAACCTGTTGCTAAAATCGGCATACTTTTTAACACTTTCAGTTGTTCTGAGTGTGAATACTTTTTCAAAACCATCTTTTCAGAGATCAGCAGAGATGTAAAATACATATATAAATATCTGAACGCCGTGTATACAGGATTGTGTGTAGTTGTGTGTGCCTGTATGTGTGTGTTCTTGTTGAATACAGAGAGGTAGTCTTGTGTGCCAGCCTCAGATTTATGAAGCTTCTTGAAGAACTGGCCTTCTCTTCACGAGCCAGGGCTACAGACAAAAGAAATGGTTTTCACGCTGTTCACTTATTCACTCTGACCTCTGACTCCTCCCTCTGATGTACCTCAATGTCCCGCTTTTAGTTTCACTCTCTTGATCACTGGACATCCCACCCTACCAACAGTCACTTCTCTCAGTGTAAGGCTCTTTGAGTTCTCTTCTTCTCTTCTTGCCTCTTTCTGTCCCCACCCCACCTCCTATAACGAAACAGGTCAGTGTTGTAAATGGACAAAAAAAGTGAAAAATTTCAACCTTGTTGCCTTTGGAGTAGGGTTGCAAAGGGGCGGAAAATTTCCGGTAAATTTCCGAAAAGTTTCCGGTAAATTTCCATGGTAAGTTAAGCTTGGGAATTTTGGAAATATTCCATATTGGAAACTGTCCATGGAAATAATGGGAATTATGGAAATTAATGGGAATTTAGGAGAACTAACTGGGAATATATTATTTCCAAGCATAAATATAAACAGAAATCATAAGAAAACCTCCATGCAAAATGTTTTCAACAGATATTTAAACAGATTTATTTGTAAGTACAGTAGAATAGAACACGTTTCAATAACTTGTTTCATGGATGAATAAAAACAGAAATGTTGAGTTCAATATTACCATCCCCTAACCCCGCTCATTCAAAAATGCCCCCTGTCCAAAAATCTCCACAAAGTCCCATTCAAAAGGTTAAATGAAAAATGCCACTTATCCTCCAAAACGTCCCATTAAACATTCAAATCTTCCTTCAAGCAATCCTCTTTTCTCATTTTTGCTCAGTCAATAGACTCTTCCTGGACCTCATCATCATCCAACAACATGTCCACTTCCTCAGCATCCAACTCTGAGTCTTCCTCTTCAGTGTCACTTTCCAGCTTTGTTGAGGATGGCTCTGTGTCAGGCTCAAAGAGCCGTAGGTTTGCCCGAATGCCGACCAGCTTTTCCACTCTCACATTTGTGAGCCTGTTGCGAACCTTTGTGTGGGTGTTCCCAAACAGTGACCAGTTGCGCTCGGAGGCGGCTGATGATGGTGGGATTTGGAGGAGGATGGAGGCTACAGGTGCAAGGGCCTCAGATTCACATAGTCCCTTCCACCAGGTGGCTGCAGATATGTGCTGGCATGACTGCCATATTCCATCCCCTTGCCAAACTGCCTAGAACTTTGCCTTTATCGAGACCCAGGTGGTCAGACATGGCTGTAATGACCGCATAGGCACCGTTGATCTCTTCCCCGGAAAGTATGCCCTTGTCATATTTGGGGTCCAGCATGTATGCTGCTGCATGCACTGGCTTCATGCAGAACTCCCTCCGCTGTTCCAATGACTTGACCACAGCCGTTTCCTCTGCTTTCAGTAGTAGGGAAGTGGGCAGAATTGTCTGGATTTCTTCTTTGAGTTCTGCAAAAAGGCACTGGACATCTGACAAGATGGCACCATCCCCCTCTATCTTCGCTATTGCTGCTGCAATAGGTTTGAGGATTTTCTGACTGCTAGATACTCTTTCCCAGAACACATCATCCAAGATGACCTTCTTGATGTCACTGTCGATGCCTACAGACTGGGATATGGCCATCTCTTGCAGAGACTCCTTTCCCTCCAGAAGGCTGTCAAACATGATAACAACACCACCCCATCGCGTTATGCTGGGAAGCTTCAGTGTAGTACTCTTGTTCTTTTCCTTTTGCTTTGACAGAAATGTAGCGGAAGTTACTTGTTTGCCTTTAACATATTTCAGAACTTGCTTCACTCTCTTATTCAGAGTGTCCATTGTTTTTAGTGCCATTATGTCTTTTAGGAGAAGGTTTAGTGTATGGGCTGCACAGCCAATAGTAGTTATATGAGGGTAGGTCTCCTCCACATGTGCCCAGGCAACCTTCATGTTGGCTGCATTGTCAGTGACCAGTGCAAAAACCTTATCTGGTCCAAGGTCATTGATGATCACTTTTAGCTCATCTGCAATGTATTGGCCTGTGTGTCTGTTTTCCTTTGTGTCTACACTCTTGTAGAACACAGGCTGAGGAGTGGTGATTATGTAGTTAATAATTCCTTGTCCCCTGATATTGGACCATCCATCAGAGATGACTGAAATACAGTCAGCTTGGTCAATGGTCTGTTTCACCTTTGCTTGAACTCGACTGAACTCTTCATCCAGTAGATGAGTAGACAATGCATGTCTGGTTGGGGGAATGTATGCTGGTCGGAGAACATTCAAAAATCTCTTCCAGTACACATTGGATGTCAGCATCAGGGGTGAGCCAGTTGCATAGATTGCACGAGCGAAACACTCATCTGCGTTTTTCTGGCTAGTGTCATCCATAAAATCAAAGAATCCTCTGATGCCAGAGGGACCAGGAGCTGATGAGTGGGTATCTGACTCTGATACAGCTGAAACAGATTCATTTTCCCCTTGAGTGGAATTCCTGGCTGCTGCATGTGTTGGGCCTTGAGGAATTTTTTTGCACTTTGCAATGTGCTGCTGCATTTTTGTGGCATTCTTCACGTACGTCTTATCACAATACTTACACATATATACAGATTTCCCTTGTACATTAGCTGGTGTAAAATGTCTCCACACATCAGATAGCGCACGTGGCATTTTTCTGTAAAATAAAACAAGAGCTTGTAAAAATGCTAATGCAATGCAAGAGATCGTAATAATACAATTGCAATATGATAATAAACAGATATAAATAGTAAGGCTAGCTAAACAACTGGAATGATCTTCAAAACAAAACAACCAAATGAGGAAGCTAGCATCTTCTTTATGTTATACTAGCTATGGCTTATTTAGCATCTAACAGATGCTAGCATTTTATTTAGCATCTTATCAGATGCTAGCATTTTATTTAGCATCTTATCAGATGCTAGCATTTTATTTAGCATCTTATCAGATTGCTATCTACCAGATTAATACATTTTATGTGATATTCACAATTTAAACATTTAATGAATATATTTTCCCATAATATCATCAAAACTTACCTCACTTGTTAAGTCCACAGGCTCAAATGTGTGCCTTTAATACTCTTTGTCCTTCAGGCTCAAAAGTGTGGTCCATGTGTACATGTGATGGAGGCATGCACAGTGCCAGTAGGTGGTCTCAATAGCCATGCAGCAAGCTTGTGCTCTGTACATGTGATTAAGGAATGGCATGGATATTCAAGTGTATTTGAATTGCATTTGTTTGTTTTTGTCAATATTATGCTAAAATATACTTTCCTCAACTATATTTAAGTTCCCTAAGAAGAGCCAACCTTCAATTTTGAAAATTCCCACTTTATTCCCATAAATTCCCGTTAATTCCCGTTTATTCCCATAAATTCCCGTTAATTCCCGTTAATTCCCATGGAAAGATTCCATCTTTGAAAATTCCGGGAATTTTGCAACCCTACTTTGGAGACGCCCAGTCATCCATTCCCATGTAATCCTATTCAGGGTCCCAGGGAGGTTGGAGTCTGTGCCAGCATGGACTGGGTAGGGGGTGTTCTGCTAACTAAATGGCGTACATGGTACGCACACAGTCTAAAGGAAATTATAACATACTCTGAAGACAGCAAGAATTAAAAGAAAAGAAAAGGAGATGTAGTTTTAAATGAAAAAAAGTAGTATTAAGTAGTAAAAGTAGATTGTATTCCAGACTGGTGGCAGCTTGTCTCTCCTCCCCTTCCTCAGTTAGCAGGAAAAGGAAGTGAATTATACAACCCATTTCCTGTCTGTATTTATATGTCAACCTCCTCACAATAGAATCATTGGACCAACATTGTCTTTTATTTTGACTCCTGAGCCAAATGGAGCAAAGTCTGCAAGCTAGTCATGTTTATGCACATGGCTCTCCCTCTTTACATCATATCACCATCATATTACATCTTACACCAAACCCACCCTCTTATTTGGTGTTCTAGCTAAGCTCCGTGATTTTCCTCAACTGTGACAATGGACAATGACATGTTCCTTTTATCACTAGATTTCTATATGTAACATACAATCACTGTTTTTTTTATTAGGTACACCTTGCTGTGCTGGGTTGGACCCACTTTGCCTTAATTCTTTGTGGCATAGATTCAGCAGGTTTCTAGAAACATCTCCCATTCCACTGAATTGAGATCTGATGACTGTGGAGGCCATTGTCATGTTTAAGAAGCCACTTATTATATATTTGAGCTTGTTGACATCCTGGTACAGGTACATCATCCTGTGGGAAACAGCCATCAGAAGATGGGTACATTGTAGTCATAAATGGTCAGCAGCAATACTCATGTTGGCTGTGGGGTTTAAATAATGCTTGGGTGGTACTGAGGGGCCCAAAGTGTGCCAAGAAAACATCCCCATATCATTATACCATTACCACCAACCTGTACTGTAATATATCTATATATACAGTATTATAGATATCTGTATACCTATATTATTGCTAATATATATTTGTGATATATCTATAGTATGGCTAAAGCTTCTGGATGGATGCAAACTGCATTTCGTTGCCTTGCACCTGTGACATGTACAATGACAATAAAGTTGAATTCTATTCTATTCTATTCTACTGTTGATGCAATGCAGGATGCAGCCATGCAGCAGTGTTGTTTATGCCAAATTGTGATTGCTACCATCTGAATGTGGTAGAGAAATTGACAATAAGCAATCTTTTTCCAATCTTACCGTTCAACTGAATACGCTACGTCCAAATGAACAGAATCAACTTTTTGGGATTTCCTTACCTGGATGATTGAACATGCATCGAGACATTAAATCACCTTTCTTTCCCACTGAGTTGTCTTCATACCTAAATGCACTGAGCTGCTGCCGTGTTATTGGCTGATTTCTTAGTTTTGTAACAAGAAGTTTAACAGTTCTACAAAATAACGTGGCTAGTGAGTGTAGACGATTAGCTTGGACCTTTAAATCCTAACTGTATTTTGCTCTTTTAATGTGTCAGGGATTTTCAAATATGCTAAATGACATTTTTCTGAATCCTTTCACAGTCATGGAAACATAAAAACAAATAACTTCATACATTATCCTGAGCTCACAGACAATATACTGAAAAACCTAACTAGCCTACACATATCCCTGAACTACTTTGCTACGCAGACTGTGAGACCGGCCTTATTGCCCAACATCAGTGGCCACTTCACTAAGAGACCATTAAGTGGCTGAATGGAAACAAACCTGCTGCCAGGCTCTGAGATCTTATTGAAAGCTTTTCCACAATGGCAGTTAGCCTAATTAATGCTTGTGGTATTCAATGAGATGTTTTATCGGTGTAATGTGTGTAGTACTTTGTATCTGAGTCTTTGAACTTTGTAGAAATGCAAACAAACAGGGAAGATTTATTCAGGGTAATAATTCCAACCATGCATCATTCACGTGCTTTTGAAAGTCATGCTTTTTTAATTATCATTATTATTATTATTATTTTTGATTCCAGAGTGCCAAAAATTGTAAGACACTCGTTTTTCTTTCAACTCCCCCAATTCAGAGGCTGACCTGAGGATAGGAGAGGTCCAGTGGGGAGACAGTGGAGTATACATCTGCAAAGTGGTCATATCTGATGATCTGGAGGGACAGAACGAAGCGTCTGTGGAGCTTTTGGTTCTTGGTGAGTTGCTTGTAATTTACATGGAATTTTTAAATGAAAGATAAGAACTTGCAGTCAAAACTAAGAAGTGTCATAATTATTGATGTAACCTGCAAATATATGTAGCTTGTAAATCAACTGAAACACTGTGTTAAAAGTCATTGATTTCACAGAAATTTGTACAATGTTAGACTTAAACTAAGTCCTTCAGCGTCACTGTGTGTCTGCACACGTGTGTATTTTGAATGTATCAGTAAGGTGTTGTGTTACAGTAACAGTGTACTTGTCTTTGTTCACTTACATGTTACCAGAGAAACTGTTGAGAGGCTATGTAGCTCTTGGTGTCTTAAAACACTCAGGCTGAACTTTTGTTAGGCTGCCACTCAAAGACTTATGTGTATGCACAAAAGGACACAGTCTCTCTCACACACACTCACACATACACAGAGGTAATCAGCAGTAAGCTTTTACAGTTTCCTCTTGATAGAGTGAATTCCACTCCATAGTTGTGTTACAGGTTCCATAACTGTGAGTTTTCACCCTGATGTGATAGACCCTAAATCCACCATGGTGCTAAAATGCTATATTTTCTGGTTTTAGTGTAGCTAATATGGCATGTGAAGCGCTTCTTGTGTCTCCATAACAACAGTTGAGGCCACAGTGAATGGCTGAGGGGGATCTTTTGTCTTTTGAGCAAATGGGTTCACAGCAAAGAAGACAGGGAAGATTTAATGATTTGGAGGAGGGTCGGCAGAGCACAGTGATAGACAATAGATGAGGGTGATGCTAATGTGGGCCTTTGAGAGCTCAATCCTGCAGCCGAACAGTCTGGTTTTAAATTTACAGTCAGAATACTGATACAAAATTTTCAAACAAAATGCACAGAGAGAAAATAATTCAACAATTTTCTGCTGCTTTTCTGGGTCAGCTAGACTTCCCTCTTTTGGTCAAGCTCTGCTAGTCCACGTTTCTCATGTGGTCTCTTTTGGGACTTTGATATTGGTTTCATTTTTCAGTTCCAGGTGTTATCACTGGGCAAGGACGTGTTAGCTAACATTAGCTAACATCTGAATTAAAATATTGTGTTGATATTTGTAGTTTTCCCCCTTCAGATAAATTTTGACCAGACAGGTTTCATTAGATAATACAGGCTTTTCTGACTAGTGTTGGCTTACCCGCTAACACAGATAAATTCTCTGATACCCGCAGCCGGCTTGCTCACTAACGTTGTTGCTGGCAATCCACTATCTAAAGCCATGCCAGTACTACTTTTGTCATTTTTTTCTAAAGAATTTGTGTTGTACTGGGAATCAACCACTTCACTGATTAGTGAACTCTATTTTAAAACTGCTATCAGCTTAAGAGCAGCAGAGAAGGAACGAGGTGAGACACTGGGTATAAAGTATAAGTGTCACATGGTTGGATTTTTACACAAAGTCCGGCCTCCATCCTTAAAAAAGAAATCAGTCCATAGACTATAAAAGGCAACTGAGAGGGTTAGGAAAGGTAGATATACAGTCTATTTGGATATTTACAAAAATAACATCTAAGAAATTCACAGTGCACATTTACGATGGAGTATTAGGTCACATTAGAAAAAAAAAAAAGGAAAATCTACTTTGAGAAAAAAGTCGAGATGTGAAGATTACAGTTGTTGTTTCAAGACAAACTGCTGCGGTTGCTATACCCGCTGAGTTAGTGAAATCGTACTTCAGAATTGGTTTCAGTAAAAGGAAGGAAAGAATTTCTCTTTTACCTCATAAACACAGTGTGATGATCAGTATGAGGACATTGAAAAGATGATCAGTAATATATTTATTTTTCGTAATCTGGTCCTAATACTTATTGATACATATTTAATGGCCTAAAATGCAAAGATTTGAATTATTTTATTGTATCTAGTTTATACATATTAATGGAAAATTCTAGATACATGGTTAGTGTGATAGACTGATCTCTTGAAACTGTTCAGACAAGTTTGATTTAACCCTGACTATAAGCCTACAGGAAGGAAGGGCTCAATATTGTCTGGTTTTAGTGTGTGAAAACAGCCCCAACATATAGTCTCATTTTCCCCATACATTTAATCTCTGAAGGAGATGTATATATGGCTTTGTTAAACGGCACCTATCAGGATCGCATGTAGGGTCAAGTATGCAATCCCTGCATATCTGAAAGAAAACCTTGGTTTATCACCAGTCTTCGGGCAAATTCAGGATTTAGTAGAAGCTGGACAAGTGCTATGCTTCAACAGCATGAGAATCACAGAAGACAGCAGCAGATAAAAACAAAAATTGCAGCGGTCTGAAGTAAAGCGATATAAATGTCGACATCGTTTTTAAATGCAATAACCTTAATAGGTTTTTTCTGTTTTCAAATCCAGCAAAGAACATGTATAGCCTACTAGAAAGATATTAAATAAGGTATGTGCACTGTCAGCTAGAATCAGGCCAAAGTAGTCCAGCTTGCACCCTTTCCAAACTGTCTTTTTATACTTACCACTCCTTTCCTCTCTTTGCCAGAATGACACACTCAGCAGCAAAATACCAGTGCTTGTTTGTATCACACACTCATATGCTGGCTTTTTCACTTGCGCACCCAAACCAAACACATTCACACACATTTCTGCACCAGCTCGTGACACAGTTCCTCTCATGTAACATGTTGTATTCAGACATTTGTTTGACTTCTTCTTTAAAAATGTGTTAAGGAACATTTGAGAAATTTAAAAAACAACTAGTAAACTAGTATTTATTTTTTATCTTGATATGACTTTGAGTGACTGAATGTAGTGTAAAGCGCTTTGGGGTCCTTAGGGACTGACTAAAGCGCTATACAAATGCAGGCCATTTACCATTTACTTTAATCTGTCTAACCCTAAACTTAGGGTTAGACAGATTAAAATGATCTAAAATCGATTCAGTGCAATTCAATTTTATTTGTATAGCACCAAATCACAGCAATAGACATGTCAAGGTGCTTTACATTGTAAGATCCCTACAATAAATTGAAGAGAAACCCACCTCAAATGACCCCTTATGAGCAAGTACTTGGCGACAGTGGGAAGAAAAAAAACCCTTTTAACAGGAAGAAAACGCCAGTGGGACCAGGCTCAGGGTAGGCAGCCATCTGCTGTGACTGGTTGGAGGTGAGGGGAGGAAGACAAAAGGCACAAACTCTATATGTAATATTATCGACAACACATCAGCCTTAACATGCATCACCAAGCACACTGCCATTTTAGTGGAAAACATTAAATTAAATAAAGAGTAAAATTGTGCAGTTAGGCATCTAACGTATGTCTTTATTTCACCCCAATAAACAGTGCTAATAAAGCTGGCCTGGGATTAATGTAATTATTAAGTTCTTGGAAGAAAACGTTTGCTTAATAGGTAAATTGTTTCCAAAATGTTACAAACACAGCATAAGAAAAGTAACTGTATAAATAGGAATCAGTAAAAGAAGAGCCATCTGGAGTTCAGATTTTAGATGACATTTTTAGTGTTTTTTGCTGTAGCAGCGACCTCAACAGCCAATCTTCACCATTTGGTTGACCTGAATAGTTGGAGTAGTTTGGCATTTCAGGAAATACTTCAATATTTCAGGTGCATCTTTCAACACTATGAATGAAGATATTTATAGTTCTTGAAGCTAAAAGCTACGTGATACACTTGACCTTTCTCTAGTAACTTTTGTCGGCTTCTATAAAAACAAAGTCTCATTGACTTGGCAGCTATAGTGATGAGACTCGTTCAAACTCCAGTCTGTTTTCGTTTTTTTTCAGCAGTCAGACAATCAATCTTCTAATCAGTTGATTTGAAATGTTTCTAGAGCAGGGACCATAAACTGTACGCCGAGGGCCACATACAGCCCACTTTGATCTTAAGTGTGTCAGATCAGTAAAACTTCCATTTCTGTCAGTGTAAAGATGTTTAACTACATATTTAATCCCTGAGATCTAAGAAAAAGACATGTCATTTTAATAGTAAATCTCAGCTTTTCACCGTAACAATAAATGCTGGTGATGTGTAACAAAGTTAAAGCTCTGGTAGCTCTTTTCTGTCATTTAATTGTTTATCTTTGCTACTTTGGTGTGATATGAAAAGCCGTGGGGAAAGTTTATATCACTAATAGAGGCTGTAAAACATTAAAAATACAGTTTAAAGTAAAAGATTTGGATCTTCCTTCCTATTTTCGAAAGTTGTCTTGTGGACTGGATTGTTGTCTCTGCCAGACCAATTCAGACCCCTAGGCCTTATGTTTGACACCCCTGTTCCAGTGAAAAACCACAATGTCCTCTCATGCATGCTGTTTATCTGTCTATTTTCATTCCTTCTTCGTATTTTGCTCTGTCTTTCTCTTAAATCACTTTTAATGCATGCATGCCGCTACTGCAATAACTTTCTTTGAATCAGTCATTTCAGTTTATATCAACTCCATTGCTTCTCCTCTCTCTTTCCCAATCTCCTCTCGTCCACTGTGCTCTCTCTCCAGGTTTCTCAGGTGTTCCTGAAGACCTCCTGCCAGACTTTGATTTGAAGATAATGCCAGGTAGGGGCTTAGTGCATTCCCCCCCTGCACCTGCTTTCTTTCATTCATACTAACACTGCTGACTGCTCAGACTATGAATATAGGAACTATGTAGATGAGTTTAAGAATAAAAAAAGATCACTTTTTACACCATGTTCAGTGGTTCCTGTGCTAATACTGCCTGTAACACTGTCTAACCCAGTGACTGTTTTCTACAGTCAATGGTCTAACCTGTTCTTCACCCACAACATCTAATAATGCAGCAAGTGCTGGTGATTCACCTTCTTTTAACTCAGAGACTCATCCACACCCATCAAGTAATGAGCTGGTCGTTGCTCCCACTAAGATGAGCTGCTCTGGAAAACAGCTATTATGGTCATTAAAGTTATTTGTGGTTGTGGTCAGCAAGTATTCCCACACCATTCGGATAATATCCAGTCAAAAACACAGTAATCTAAAGGAGAGGAGGGCTTTATGATGCATCGGATTCTTTTGTATAAATGTATAAATGTGCAGATTGTATGGAAGCAACTCCCAGCATGACTTGCTGTCCACGATGACTCCCACAGTGTGCGTGTGTGTATCTGTGCGTGTGTTAAGGAGTCATTACGGTTCCAAACGATATCACATAACAAGCAATTTGGTGGTAGCAGCCAAGCGTTCAGTAAACTGTCCTTTTCCTTCCTGTAGCAAAAACAGGTTTCCTGCACATGAGTGTGTGTTTTCTTCTGGTGTCCTTTAGTTTGTTTGTATGAGAGAAAACATCTTTAGTTTTATATTGTTAAAGACTTCCTTATCTGCGCTCGCCTTCCCTTTCCTTTGCCTTCCCCCCAGACAGATACATGTAGGTTATCTCTTGTACTCACTTTATCCTTCTCTCCAAAGCTGTGGTATTTAATAACAGTTTGTACAATCATTCCTTTTTCCTGTAACTCATATTCCAACTAAGATGTCATTTGTTCCCATTTTCCTATCCAAAAACAACCCGACAAGGTTAATAAGTGCAAGAAAATCTACGAAATCTACGAGGGGACATAAACTTGCAGCTTTCCAGCCTTTTGTTCCTTTGTGATGTCCCAGTGCGCTCCAGTTCACTTTTCCTTTTTCCTGCTTTGACAGGAAATACATCACATTAAAAAATGGTAGAATTAAATCAGGCTACACACAAAGTCATAGATGTCAGTGTTTTACCTTATAGAGAAATGCTGCTTTAGTGATTAAAATAAATCTGTTAGCATGACTCCTTGGCCTGCAGTTGTGATGAATAAAAGTGTTAAATAAAATAAAAGTTCTGAATCTTCTGGTAGCTCACTGGTCAGACTGTCCTGTAATTATAAAACAGAGTTCTGTTAATTCACAACAAATGTTTTTGTCTTACCGAACAAACCTCCCCTGCCATTTCTAGATACAAAGTAAGTAGATACTAAAAAAACAAAACCCTTTCTGTCATTTAATTGTTTTTCTGTTACTTAGTTACTTTGGTGAAGTATGAATGTAGCCAAAGCTGAGCTAAGAAAACAGTTGAAAGTCCAATATGTATGCTTTCTTTCACATTTACCAAAGCCATGCACTGGGGCTGGATTGGAGCCTGTGCTGAGCCAATTTTAGTCCCTACCTTTTTTGACACCCCTGCTTTAGAGATTATATAAACACGGATGAAGAATAAAGGTTGCTGCTGATAATAACATTTTTAGCCTTCAGTTTCTCTCAGCGTTACATTTTACGGCCATTGTGTTTATGAGCAGGCTGCTTGAACTGTTTTACACTACTTTTTCATTTTTAAAGGTTTTTTGTGTTTTGTTTTTACTCATTATTTTTCACGTGGCATTCTCAGAATACAGTATGGCTCCAGAATGATCAAATGAACCTGATCCTGTATCAGTGTGCTGAGTAGGACATACGTATTTATTTATGTGCAGGATTTTGTGCTGTGTGTGCTTGCAGAGTGGGTGTTTGTGGTGGCAGTGGCACTTGGCAGTGTGTTATTCCTGCTCTTGATTGGAGTTTGTTGGTGTCAGTGTTGCCCTCACTCCTGCTGCTGCTACGTCAGCTGCTGGTGCTGCCCCGACACGTGCTGCTGCCCCAGACACTGTGAGTATGAACACACACTCAGAAATGCACAGGTTTGTGCTCGGAGAACTGACGCATGTCTGAACAAGATTATATTTTGCTTTTTTTTCCCTTCTTCTTCTTTTTTTCTTTAAGTGTATGAGGCAGGAAAAGGTATAAAGACAACCACCTCCTCACCTCAGACACCTCCCTACCCACCGTATTTCGTCTCTGGTGTCCCAACCATGGTCCCAATTGCTCCTCCCTCTCTGGTGGACAAGATATCTTCAGTCCCCGGCTCAGATGGGACCCTACTCACAGCAGGTGGGGACTTACTCGTGATTACCTGATTGCCATGTGTTAACTATATTTTTTGTCATTTGAGCTAGAAAAAAAAGGTTAAAAGAAATGTAGTCAGCCCGAATGTCCCTGTGATAAACTGTTCAGTTTATGGTAAAGTAGAAAAACACCAGTATGGTCCTCAAACTAATAAAACACACATCCAAGTTCCCTTTCTGATGACTCGAGTGTGTATCTGCAGTGCCCGTGCACGCTGTAGGGGTTCCCTACCGCGTGCCTTCACCTCAGGATCAGGATTCTCTCAGGGTGCTGCAGTATGTAGAGAAGCAGCTGGCTCACTTCAACCCTGCCAGGTCCACCAGCCACCAGTGTAAGCCTCATAAACCTGCTCTGTGGCTTTACTGTACTACTAAAGTGTTCTGATGCTGTCTGCAGCTTTGGTAGTGTCTTTTATTTGTTTTTGTCTTCTCTTGGCATGACTCCCTGCACTCAGCAAATCTGCCTTCTGAATTTCCTCTAGTCTGGATGTTATCTAGTTGCCGTTTTGCATGCCTACTTCCCTGAAAGTGTATTTTTTTTAATGACTCTCACTTCACACTTAAGGCAGCTTCTTTAAAACCTTGATGTTCTTCATCTGCAGGGTCTTGTTCTGGGAGAAGGGCGCTTTTAATTCATTTTTTGGCAGGTGTTACTTATTTGATTAATTCATTAATTTTGTTCTATCTAGCCTGTGCCCTGTCTGAACTGAGCTCCCTCCATGAGGGAGAAAGTGGCTTCCGCCAATCATATCGCAACATCCAGAAGAACGCTCTGCCAGCCATCCCCGATCACGACACTCAGCCTGAACCTCAGCGCTACCGTGAAAACCGCAGTCCGGAGCCACAGAGTTACCGCGATAATCCCCCATCTCCCCACCATTATCATGATGACCCTGACCCAGAGCCTCGCCACGTACGGGACGAGCCTCTTCCTCCGCGCCGATACAGCGATGACCCTCCATCTTCGTCTCAGTCGCGCAGGCCCGGACGGAATCAGCGGCAACAAAACCACAACAATGAGGAAAACCACAACAGGTGGAGGACTGTCTGAATACACAGAATGCCTTATGCAGAGATACAGGCGTACACTTAACTCATGTCGTATTTTACAGGTGGAACCCTCGCTCTGAACATCTTCAAAGAAAAACATACCGAACTGCAGGGCGAACCGGCTCACTGGACGAGCTGGAGGAGTTTGCTGCTTGTTACAAGCAGAGAGGAGGCAGAGGGGCAGAGAGGAGGGACGAAGAACAGCGAGAGTATGAGATGGAGCATCTGGAGTACAGCCGATACCCTTCTCACCGAGTTGCCCCACCTCAGCATTATCACAGTAATGAAAATGAGGTTGAGGACATCAGCGACCGCGAAGAGCAACCCAGGCGGATCAAGAAAAACAGACATGACATCAGCCCACTACCTTCACCCAAAAAGAGGAGGGACACGTCAGATAGGGAGCGCACTGTCCCACCTCCTCCCACAGCAGGTCCACCTTCAACTTCTTCTCAAGAGAAGGACTATGATGCTACCTTCCTCAACAGCCTGCTGGAGCGTAAAGCTAAGTTACGAGGGGTTACCCAGGGGAGGACTGGGGCCCGGGGTGATGAAGATTCAGACACACCCTCGAAGAGCAGCCTGAAAAAGAGCAGCGGGGAATCCAGTCGGCACTGCAGTCGCTCACCTAGTAACAGGCCCGACGCAGATTTGCTGCCTCCTCACACGGAGACAGAGCGAGTAAGAACTGACAGGTCGTCACCAGGAAACACTCACTCCCCTCAGCCGCCCGTTCATTCCTTAGCGAGTCACAGAGAAGATCCCAGAAACAAGTCCAGGAAAGTGGTGAGTAACATCGTGAATTACTGGGATTGTATGCAAATTTAAGGATTTAAAGTATAGAGTATATATTCAATATATTTTCTTGGTACTGGTGTGTAATTAATGAATACAGACTAGAAAAATGATAACACTAGGCTAGCTTCAAATCACTAAACACCCAGTGCTGTATTTCCCCATTGTTTGAGGGTGTTTCCAATAACGTGCACTTGGCTAGGAGCCCACAAAACTGTTGAGGAACTCATGAGCTTAGAGATCCTGTACAATAGTTTGAGGACAAAGTGTCACGTTAACAAGGGCAGTCGAACACAGCAGCCACTTCATTCTATAAATAAAGAAATAATTGATCATTCTGGTTTTACGGATTAGGTTAAAGTTCTTTTCAGTTTCTAGAAAAAGTGGGCAGAGCTAAGCAGAGCTTCATTCTATAGCTATAGCTTTAGCTGCTTATCTTTGGTTAGCATCTTTAACATTTTCAGCTTGGTAAAAGTGAGGGTGTCTCATTCGGTTTGTTGTTACAAACGTTTTCGTGGTGGTTGTCCCCACGGTTTACTTTGGGAAACTTTGTGTCTTCGCTCACAATGAAGAACTCGCTAATAGCCACAACCCCATGCTAGCAAAGTTTGGCTGCTCATAGCATATGGCTGGGAGTATGCTACCAACTATTTGAAATGAGACACACTGTCTGACTCCGGTCCCTGGCTGGTCGATTTCTGCACCTCAAATAAAGCCAACAGTATCTAAAATATGCAGAAATTGCTAATGTGGACTTGCAACTTTTTAGGCCTCAAAGTTTCCGTGCGACCTGAACTTGAAGAAAGCTCTAGTTGAATTATACACAAAAGCTAATGTATTTTATAATTGAAAATACCTCATATTAAAATGTCTTCTTCAGGGAACTGGCTGGGAAAGAGTTGAAAAAAGGTTTGTAGGCCTGTAGTAAGTGTTGTTGTTGTACCTTTGGCAGGTCAGGTTCAGATGCTACCAGAATGAAAACTAGGTAGAAGATTCTGTTCTATCTCCAACTCCACTATAACAATAATAACTGGTTGTCTCCTTACTCACAAACCTGGGTCAAAATGTTATATTGTGTCAAAGACGTCTTCTACAAAACACATCGATTAAGAAGAGTCAGTGTTTTGACCTCAAGTAAGGTCTTGAAACGAATCTTCAAGTGATCTCACAAAAGAGTTGAAGGCACTTTGTCCCAGGTTCCACTTCACCATAATAACCACGTTTGGCTAATGTCCACTCTCTCTTTACTGCCTCACACTGTTCAATAAGATATGCTATGTTGTTGCTTTGATCATTTACACTTTTTTTTTTGTCCTCATCAGAGCACTCTCCTCAGCCGAGACTCCCTTATCGTCTGATGGACTTCAGTCTTCAGTACAGACTGAAAGCGTTGTGCAGCCTTGATGCACTACAGGAACTGCTTGTCAGCTGATAAAAGATGACAAACTTGGATTCATAAAGATAACGTCAAGGACAGCAGACTGTGGGAGAGCTGAATCAGTACTGATGAGTGAAGACAAGGACAGCAGAGGCACCCGAGATTGTTACTCAGCTGCTTGTGATGTCATGGTGAAGTCACTGGCTGTGTGTTATGTGGACTAAGACTGAGCTAATGCGTGCAGGGAGTATGACCTGGACCGTTCCTGCGAGCAGTGTGCTGTTGGTCTCCCCTTGTTCCTGTCAGAAAAGGCTCTGAAGCAGAGAGATTTACGTTACACTTTCAGCACAATGCATGCATTCATTTCCATCTGATGAGTTACGTGAATGAAAAAGAACTGCTGTAGCATGACAACGGTATGACAGCACGGTTGTTGTAAAGGACCGCTGTGTCATTCTGTAGTATATTCAGGGACTAAGGCACCTTAGTCAGAAAGCTTCTGCAGCAGTAATCAGTATTACCAAATGTTTACGCTTATTTATTTTATGGGACAGTGGACATTAATGAAACGACAGTGTTTATGTGTCAGAGCTCAACAGCTATTGTGGATCCATCATCTGAATACAACTAAAATGACCAAAGGAGGTAAAGCTTTTTCTACTTAAAATAAGGATGAAAATAGGAGAAATAAGACAGTGCTGACAATGTGCAGCAGCAATCTGAAACAACACAAACAATTAAAGACTGTCAACAAGTTGCCCCGTAGTAGATCGAATGCAGAAGTGATACTGACTAACAAATTCTTTAAACGCTTTAGCTTCCCTCTCATCAGAGCTGAGATAAACACACTGTTCAGCACCAAATCACTTAGAGGCACAGTTAGTGATTAGATGGTGGACATAGTGGAGGTTCTCAGAAGTTAGAGAGGAACAAAGCAGAGCTACACGAGAAGAATATCTGACATAAATTCCAAATGAATGGTAACTTGTGGTAACTTCGACTGATATAGTCACTTATACAAATGAGGTTTGTAATATAAGGTTTAATTCCACGTAGCAACATGTATCAGCTAGAAACGTCTGAATTGATTTAGTTTCGTATGTCTATTATTAAAAGTTTATAGCAACAGGATACCTCAGAATGGGCCTCTTGTAGATGGTTACAAATGTGAGCATTAAGCTGTCTGCATATAATCTGTAAATGACCTAATATGACAGAAATCTATGCATTTTAAACATTTTAAAATACCTGTTAAGTCTGGATAAAAAAAACTGTATTAAAAAGACAATGATTTTTCATCACTGTGTGAACGAAACACCCTGAAAAGAAGTAGAAGCACCAGAAGAGGCCTAATAATCTGTTCCCAAACAGCAAAAGTATATTTTGACGGTGAGAAATAAGAAATGGTTTTGAAAATCAGTCATAACTGATAAAGCTGCACTGACGCAGCACTAAAGTGATGAAGGTGTGGACTAACCTATACTGACCTCTGACCCAAATATGACCCACATTTGCTGTAGCATTAGCAGCGGTGATGCAGTTAACCCCAGTGCAGTTTTGTAACATTATCACTAATGACGGGTATATATTTACATGATACATGCTAAAACATGATTCCCATCAAAATATTTTAATATACAACAGTACATGACAAACTGAAACTGTATGAAATTAGTGAAAAATTAGGGAATCGTTAATGACCCCCTCCCCTCGCAAAGAAAAACGACAACAACAACTTTTTTTTTCCACTATATGAATCCCATTGGAAATTCCCCCCATATTAGTTTTAGAGATTTAATCATAGGTCAAGATTATTATGCGACAGTAACATTACTTTGTGGAGCTTTCCCTCCTCTAATAAAAACATGTTACAATTTATAACTAAAAGTTACATTTTGTATTGTCTGTAAACATTTAAAGGTATTGAACTGCAATTTGCCTTTGAACGATTTTTGTACTACACTTTTGTATGGAACTCTTTGTGCACGTGGTGTGTTTGTGTTTAAAATTTGTAAATGATCTTGTGTGTGTAAGCACTCAAGTGCGTACATAAGATGAAGTTTGTATTTCACCATAATTCAGCCATTGCTTATCAATGTTGAGTGAGCACTTAAACCAACTCAGTGTTATCAGCAGCTACACACTAAGCGTGCTTTATGGAACGGTCATATCAAATATTTTGTTCTAATATTACACTGTCCAGTAATTCATGGCTCCCATGTTGGTGACATCTGTGTAATTATTTTTTTAATGGTTGGTGGAAAAATTCTCCCTTTGTTTTCTCTTGTGTTTGGTACAGACAACTCTGTGTGCGGGAGTTAGCAGGAGCGAGAGAGATGACTCTTTATTTTTCTGTTAAGGAGACAATGTGTGATTGCGTATGACTCATATCTTTGTTCATTGTTTTAATCACAGACTTGTAGTCTTGACTACACAGCTGGCTCGACGCTCACATATCGGGTCTTCCAGCTAAGCCGCAGATATTGTCCCTGTTTGTCGCCGACATACCACATTTGTTATAATTGCAGACAATAGGTTGCTAAAGTGCCTAGTTGCAGGGTGGCAAACATTAAGGCCAGCAGTGTTTGACTACGCAGCAAAATAAAGTCCGCAGAAATAAAACTCCAGGGTTTATTGAAAGTTCAGATTATTTGTTTTAAACTGCAGAGACATCAGTGGAATGAGGGTGTTTCTCTATCATGCTGCTTAGTATTTCTGTTGCGTCGGTATGCAGACCTTACTGCCTTTACTGTGTAATTGTAGTTTCTACTTCCTTTTGTGGATAAATATTTTAAACCTTAACCAGAACGTTGAGATTATAAAATGTTGTCCATCTAAAAACATGTCTGTGTAAACAAACCAATAATAGCCATTTATTTGTTTCCATACTAATCAACACATCATCAAATCTATAATCCTGCATAAGAAATACTTTAATTGGAAGCTTTTTCTTTCTTTTTTTGGGTTTATTTTTGTTTGCGTGCCAAGCCGACGTCAGTGTGTTGCGATTTCTGTTATCTGGCCACACCTCCAAAGGGAAGGTTTAGCAGGTGAGGAGCAGCCAGTCAAAACAAAGGTGGCTTTTAAGGAGGGGCAGCCTTGGAGATCCAAGACAGGTAGAATTATGCTTAGTTTGCACTATTACACTTGTGTCCGTTTTCATTAGTATTTGCCTACAGAGAGGGGCTTTCAACCACTGCAGATATGTTCCCGTTGAGTCCTCCAAAATCCCAGCTGCACATCGCTCAATCTAGATGAAGCACAAAAAGACCATCAAAGACCAAAAAAATAGAACATGAAGGGTACAAGCAGCGGCTGCTGTAGACACTTTTCACTTGTTGTATAACTTCATTCTTCACCATGGGTGGCTGATGGACCAACAACAGCACAAGCAAGATTAGCCCACTGACTGGTTGTACCACATATTTTTGATGCAGTTTGACTTTCTGCCCACAGACTGCCACCACTGAACCATAATGTTCCCATAACACTGTGATTGCTGCATAAAGGTTCAGTACAAATAAATAAATAAGAACTGAACAGTAGAACTACTCTGGGCCAAAGAATGAAATGTTCCCCTTCATGTCTAATTCTTTCTGATAAAGACTTAAAAAGAAAAAGACTTACTTAAAAGTGGCCGTGTAGCACGTTTACATTACTGTTGCACTTTTACCCAAGTGAAAGATTTGGATACAATTTGTAATTACTTAAGATATTAATAGGAAGGAAATAATTCACTTTTTGAGCTATTATTCTGTGAGTTTATGTGAGCTCCTTCACTGCATGCTTGTGATGGGAGGGTTCAGTGACCACTCACAGCCTGTGAAATGTCAGGAATGCTGTTGAGCAACTCTCATCTGTAATGAAGCATGGCTGCAAAGGAATATGACATCAACATACGCCATAGATGGATCTTAAAGGTTTGGTGTGGATGGAAGTAATTAGCTACCAACTGTTTCTGGTCAAAAATCTTATGGCAATCAGTGGACTGTTTGGTTACTGTCAGTTAATTCTGATTAAACTGCAGATGTAGGTTAAACAAGTGGTAAACACCTAGAAATCTACCTGTTTAATCAATAGCATTTCTGTTATTTAGTCAACAATTTAATTACAAATGTTTAAGTATTCAATGTAAATGATTGCAGGTTTCCATTTGTATGATATAAAATGAAATGCACAAAAATGGTGCAGTTTTCTACGGGTCTCGGCTGCAGCACCAACTTTAGCCGCTGCCGCGGAGACCTGCGCCTTTACAGGTTCCCAGAACTGTTACCATAGAAACGCTACACAGTCGTGAGTCTTCTGCAGGAAGGAGAGTAAAACTTGGAGACCGTACGGTTTACTCTGGCTGAAATTTGAAAAGACAACACATAAAGTCATGTTCTCGCAGCTAACGCCTGAGGAGTCGGCTTCACGGTGAGTTTGTGTGCTGCTTCTTCCCGTCCGAGCGAGTGAAGCCCAGCCAACATCAATCTGAGCGGTCAGTGCTGCTAACTTTCTGCCGCTGCTTGTGTGTGAACAGGATGTGGACAGCAGCGGGACGCGACAGTAGCTATGTCCTCGTAGAGCTACAAGTATTACAGCGAGAGCAGGAAGAGCTCAAAGCTAAGTACGAGGAAAGCAAACAGGTGCGGAATTATTTCTCGAGACGCGAGGCAGTCACTTCTCGCGATAGCTGAACGATCAGTCTGAAGGGTAGCGTGAACTTTACCAACGCACTGTAACTACTGAATGTTTAAGTATTTCTAATCTTAAAAACGAACAAATGTATTTAAGTTTCATCAAAGAATTAAGAGCACTTTATTGGGAACATCTATTAATTCCTAAACAATTATCTAAACAGCCAGTTATCTGCCACTTAAAGGCAGTGGCAGGGCTGTCCCATCATTCAGTGTTGTTAACAATAAAATCTAAATAATAAATAAAATCTATTTGCTGTAAAAGTGTATGACTATGTTATATGATATATCAGGAACTATTCATATAAATGCCATAATCTTTAAAAGAATTAAGGGATCATTCATTGCAGTACAACACTAATGAATTTAAACGTCTATGCAGCTTGCAGGTGGTGGTCACAGGCCATTGCTCTCTCTTTATTCCTGAGAGATTTTTCTGTACATTTAGTTTTTGCTAGTGTCCTTGTCAGTAGTGGTTGCATGAGATGGTTCCTTCTTCAGCCCACTGGAGGAGCTGTATGTGCCCCCCCCCCCCCCCCCCCCCCCCCCAAAGAAAAAAAGAAGCCTATTGCCTCCCAGCACAGTCTTAGTAGTAGAGATAATAGGAGATTGGCTATGCCAGAGGGCTGTAGAAGGGCATCAACCCAGCTGGGCACCAGCATCTGCACTTTTAAGTAGGAACAGGAGGAGCACTGCTAAAGCCCTTCAAAATGACCTCCAGTATGCTACTTGTGCATGTTTCTGAACAAACTATCAGAATCAGACTCCATGAGGGAGGCATGAGGGACCCACCTCGTTTAGGGGGACCAACTGGATTGAAATTCACAAATAGTATGAATGCATCTTCACACTATCATGCACCCACTGCCAAACCAGTCATGCTGGTTGATGTTGCAGGCAGCATAATATTTGCCATAGTGTCTCCAGACTCTTTAACGTGTGTAAAATATGCTCAGTGTGAATCAGTGCCAGTTTTGGTGTTTCCTGACAAGAACAGAGGTCTGTGGTCACCACCTGCAAAACCATTCCCTTTTTGGAGACATGTCTTATTTGTGCCTCTCCAGTGTACCTGTTGTCACTTTCATTTGGGCTAAAGCAGGTGAAATTGATTCACATTGGTTTATGCTTCCTAACTGGACAGATGGAGATCGTTAAGTTTATGTTTTACTGTAATGATCAAATGTTTATCTTAATTGTTTTAAACAGTGCAACTTAATGTACAGTAACTAATTTTATAAGCACTTGATATGTTTTGTATACAAATATCTTAATTTTGCTACCCATGCTCATAATTTCAGAGGGAAGAAGAAGAGTAGGACAGCATAAGAATTCAGATTTGCAAGTAAAATATAAGTATCTCTAAACTGTACTTTCATTACAGCCCAGAACTGCGACATACTTGTCTTCTTGTAGCAAAAGTCTCATACAAATTTTGGCATAATTTTTTTTTTTAACCCTATTATGTGGGTTTATGTAGGTGTTGGAGAGTTTGCAACAGCGTGAAGAGGAGTTGCACAAGAAGATAAAGGAAATGCAAGACCTGCATTTAAGCTTTGACATGTATCACAAGGTATGACAGGAGATCACGTTACATGCTATAAATGTTATGGGAGGAACAAAAAAGTAAGGCCCTCAATCTGCTTCTAGGATGAAGAAGCTAATCGAGCAATCGAGAAAGCAGAGCAGGAGAGACAAAGGGTGCTTCAAAAAGAGGCGGAGATAGAGAGGCTGAAGGAGCAGTTGGCCAAACTGACTGAGGAGAAACAGGAGCTCGAGCATCAGGTGAAGAGACACTCTGTGTACAGAGATCTCTTGGAGCAGCTGCTCAAAATAACTAAGGTACTGTAGCTTTTGAATACAAGTATTACAATAAATGTGACAAATATTATTCTCAATTCAGTACATCATCTGATGCTTTAATGCCTGTTTTTAACATATATGGATAAAGTGAGATATTTGACTGTCTCATAAAAAATATCAGCTCAATTTGAATGTGATGGATATGGATTTATGGGATTTGCAAATCACGGCATTCAGTTTGTATTTGCATTTTACAGTCCGTCCCATCTTTTTTGGGATTTGGGGTAACGATTGCTGATGATAGCAGTGGATTTGTTTCAGATCGCAGGCAAACTCTGGCATGTTTGAAATAGATGGTAATTTGCTTTTCGGGCTACATCCTTAATGAGAGTGTAATTGTGTTGCAGTTTAAAGATGTGGCAGCGCTCACGGATCATTTAGAGAGTCTCCTCCACTTCAGATGCCAGCTCTCTGAGAGGGAGAGTAAGGCACAGGAGCAGGCTGACGAGCAGAGAAAAGCACTGCTGACACTGGAGCAACAGCACAACCTGCTGTTGCTGCAGAGGAACAACCAGCTGTCTCAGCTCCAGACCAAGCTGGAGAAAACTCACTCTGAAGGTCTAATATGGGTATGACACATAATCCTGGATCAAAATCCCAGCTTCAGTGCTAAGACGGCCTTAGATGTTGGCGTCTTCTGAATGAACTCTGGTTGTCCTGTGTTCATGCAGGAGAAGAAATGGAATAACATACAGGAAACGGCTGCCAGGAAAACACTGAAGCTGGGACAGATTAAGATGGCAATTTTAAATCTGTATGAAATGACTGGTGGCCAGGTAGGAGGAGAGGAAGGTGTGGATGTGAATGACACTGAGAAACAGCTGGAGCAGGTGTGTACCTTCACAGAGCAGAGACGGTGAGCAGCTGACAGTGAAACATTAAAATGAAGATTGTAACACACACCCCCCCACTGTCTTTTCCTTAGGTCAAGCAGTTCTTCGAGGACCAGATGGACATAGTGCAACAATATCAGCCAAAGGCGTAACAATGATCAGGGAAAACAGAAAAGCAAAAAACCCACAAATAAAGAAATATGAACAGACTGTCTTATGAAATTATTTGTACACTGGATCTGTTTAAATATTGTTATTACTATTTTTTATCTAAAGTCTATTTGTGTGTTTATGATTTGAATGAATTAACTGAAGTTGAAATAAGTACTGTAATGTGTAAGTGCTTACGGCTTTAAAATGTAATTCGCTGACTCAACTTCAGAAATGAATTCAGCAAACACTGACGAACATGAACTGCAATCAGCAGCTGCTTTGCGTTTACTGTATATTTATGTACTGTCAGGATTAAAGTAATAAGGGGGCACATAAAACTAGCAGGCCTGTGCCAGAACTGAGCAACTTTCCATCTAACTACAAACGCACAACAAACACTTGTAGTAGGCTACACACATAATGAGTTAATTGGTCAGTACGACAGTCATTTAGCTTCTTATGTGATCTTAATCCAATAAATTAATAACAACAACTTTATTTATATAGCACACTTAAAGACCAAGGGTCAATGGCACTAATTGGGCAAGAATAAAAGTTAAATAAAGAGTAAATATCACATCATAATCAATAGACACACATGGATATCAAGTGAAGAGATATATATAATGGTAAGCACATAAATGAAGATGGTATAGGAGTATTAACTAACTGGAAAAGCAAGGTTAAATAAGTGAGTTTTTAGTCATGATTTAAATGTTTGGATGGAGTCGGACGCACAAATAGCAATGGGAAGGTTGTTCCACAAATTAGAAGCAACCAGGGCAAATGCACGGTCACCTCTGGTCTTAAGCCGAGATCTAGGCTGTACCAAGAGTAATTGGGTTGATGATCTTAGGGCTCTCCCAGGGGTGTATGGTCTACGGAGTTCAATGAGATAGCTAGGCGCTATATTGTTTATGATTGTAAAGGTAAGCAGCAATATTTTAAATTCAACATGGTATTTGACAGGGAGCCAGTGCAAATCATTAGTTAACTTGTAACTTGGAAATAATG